TTAACAACATACTTGTATGTACTGTACAGTACTGCAAAATTTTACTCACCAGCTCTACAGAACAACAGGTCGGTCGGTCGGGCTCAGTTCCGGTTCTGCAGATCTACCCTGCAACAACAAAGCCCACAATGTTCGAAATTCTTAAATCAAAGTAATTTTCATGTTCAAGTTCAAGTTTCTTTATTGTCATTCGCATCACATGTGATACATGAGGTGGAATGAAATTCAATACTCAAGGTCTCAGTCACACCCAAAAATAGCAAAACTATAAAGTAAGAAATGCTACATAAGAATCTAAAATATAGGCTAAACAATACACTAAAAGATCTAAGATATATGCCATTATTCATACACTAAGATATTTAAACAACTTGCGTACAGTATATGTACTGCACAGTACTGCAAAATTTTACTCACCATCTCTGCAGAATACAGCGGCTCGGTTCCGGTCCAGCTCGGCAGACCTACCCTGCCAGTTCTGGTCGGCTGTCTGCAGCTCTTGAGCACCAAAACGTTTTTGGAGGGAGCCGGACCTTTGGCTGGCCAGCACGGGACCAGACGGTGGTCCCGATCGAGTTCAAATCCAGATGAAAAAAGTCCCAGCGGGCTCCAGAGAGTACGCGGGACCTCCGGGCGGCGCCTCCTCACTCAAAAGGCCTCATGGGCCGGCCAGCAGCACTCAGTCACCGATGAGTCTGCAGGTCCAGATCTGATCCAGTTCCTGGTCGGTTCCATGCGGCTCTCTGCATCCGCTGCGCCAAAGTCACTGTGAATATGGACCGAACTTTTTCGAATCTGATCAAAACTTTCCCTCCATTTCAGCAGAAAGCAACAGCTGGAAGCACTGTTGCTTCTGGGTGGGGCTCTGTTGGCTTCTGGGAAATGTAGTACTTCTGAATGGCAATGGTGTAGGCTTATTGAAAGAAAACTACAAAGTGGCTACACCTGTCCCAAGTTTTTTTTTATTTTTTTTTTACTTTTTACTGTATATCGTACTGTCCCAATCACATGCGTAATATTAAAGTTGACAGTCATGTGTCAGTACAATTATTTTTTTTCTCGATTACAATCTTACTTTGAAAAACCACAAAAGAGTGAGTCCGCAAAAGTCGAACCGCACTGTAGCGAGGGACTACTTTATTCCATTTTTTAGATGTAACTGGCATGCAAAATTTGTAGACTGTTATTGATGTTTGAGTGTGGACATGGCTTGTTCTTGTAAATTGCCTGTTCAGGTTTGCTTGGCATTACATTAACGTTACTGTTATTGGCTGTAAACTGACACTGTGAGTCGGAGGTTGTTCCAAGTATTTATAAACAAGAAAGCTGTTCCGGTTAGAGGGCAAAAGTGTGTACCAATGATGAAGAGTGACGTCACACGAGCGACTTGTTGTGATGTTACTGCTAGTACATACATATGAATTCCTACAATGTCACATGGTTTATGTCACAGCTTTACTTATGATGCATCAAGATTTGTGAAAGTCAAAAATTTTCTGTATGTTTTTGGGGTGAGGGAAGCTGGTATCCAAACAAGAGTGTTTTGTACGTTTGTGAACACCCTTAAAAGAGAATACCAAAACAGAGTTTCTGAGCTTACATATGAGTCTGTTCAATTCAATTCAGTTAATATATAGCATCAAGTCACAACAGAAATCATCTCAGGGCACTGAACATTAACATTTATAGATATTTAATATATAAGTTAACACTATTTACTGTATCTGAGGAGCAGACTGCTTTGAATTTAACTCCATCGCAGAACTCTCATCTTGAACAAGCATTAAGGCAACTGTGGAAAGAACAAACTCCCTCACGAGGAAGAAACCTTTTGGCAGAACTAGACTCAGGACAAGCGGCCATCTGCTTCAACCGGTTGGGTTTGAGAGGAACAGGAAGAAAGAACAGATGCACAATGGCAGGTCAAGAATCACATTTTAAGATATAAATATCATATAAAATGAAAACTGTTCAATTTTAACAATTCATTTAAGAACAAAAAAGGTTAAATCATGCCATCTGGACCAGTTTCTTTGATGGAGAAACGTTTTGTCTTCCATCCGGAAAAATTTGTTTGTCTGCGGCCTACCAGCCAGATCTGTCCCTTAAGTAGCATTCATTGCTGTGTTTCAAGCCAACCTGTGTTTTTGAAACTAAGAACCACAAGCAAGCCTGCAGTTTGAGAGTGAAGTGCTCTGTTAGGAAAATATGGAACAATAAGTTCTCTAATATAAGATGGAGCTAGGTTTTTGATAGCAACCCATGATCACAAAATTAAATATTTGCTCTAAGGCCATAAGACATTCACTCAACTTAAGAATGAAAAGTTAAGGGAGGTAATTGCTGACAAAGAGGATGTGTCAGCAATAACATCCTGTTAATAAAAAGTTTTTGGCGCACATCTGAACACTTACAGAAAGATGTGTTGAAGTATTTTTGTGTTTGTTTTTATTATCATGTTTTTAAGATCTGGGTCAGGCTGTGTTTTCAAACTTCTGTTTATTCAGTCTCAGTTAGGCCTGTCACGATAACAAATTTTGCTGGGCGATTGTCTCAGAGATTATTGCGATGAACAATAAAATTGTTTGAAATTTAACAATAATTAGTAATTGTCAAATTTAAGAAGAAATGTTGGTTACCTGTAATTTGTTTTGAGTGTAGTATCTTTTTTTGACCACTGGATTGTAGTATAAGACTGTTTGAACCAGAGGATGGATAGTGAGGAGCGAGCAGCGTGTCTCTAAGAAAAATGGGAGGGAGGCCCCTTGACATGGGTATTCTATTTCCGTTTCTTCATTTCTCAAAATGGTGGACGCTTGGTGTGGTTCGAGCTCTTTAGCATAGCATTTTTCACACAAAGCTTTAAAAAAAATCAGTAAACAAGATCTCAGCTTCTTTTTGCAGAGAGAAAAAAACTTTTTACGCGAAGGCACAGGTTTCAACTGAATTTTGGAGCTTCGACAAGACGGAGGATTTTTCCCGAGGTTGGCCCGTAAGCTTAATTCGTAGCTTAGCTTCTCAGCTTAGCTGCTTTTAACGATCCAAAAATGCGATTTTGTATCGTTAAAACAGATTTTAAAGAAAAGAGAAAAAACAGAAAGGGAGGGGTCAGTGAAGAGCACCAGAGTTGAGCCTTTTGTCATCCAGTGTCTTCAGTAGAAAGAGACAAGAATAAATGATAAAGCCGATAAATGAAAATGAGGTTGATAATTTTCATTTATCATGCGATTAATTGATTTATTGTTTATTGCGACAGGCCTAGTCTCAGTAATATTTATTTTCTTATTCATTTTTAAATAAACCAATAATCACATATTTAATCAAGATGGTTCTGAAACAGCTCAGTTTAGCTTTTGCAAGACACAAATACATAGATCAGGACATTTTAAGAAAATAAATGATTTTCATGTAAATGTAGATGTTTTCTTTTGAAACTCACTACTTAGGGCTGGGAGGAGGAAAAGCATGGCCAGTTTTCTGTGTCTCGCCGGCTGCGCCTGCCTCTGCACCATGTTTATCCCTGAAAACACAGGTGAGACCCTGGTACCTGCTGGTACAGATCAACAAACAAACTTTGAAAAGGAAACAAATTGTTCTGTATGAATTCAGTATGTTAGATCTGCAAAAAGTCACAGTTTATCATTTTCTAAGAAATTTGTGAAAGTATTGGGCAAAACTGACATGAAGTGATTAACAATGGAAAAACACAAGAGCAGCTGTGGCTGAGTGGTTAGAGCAGTTGTCTTCCATTGCAAGCTTTGGGGGTTTAATTTCACCAGCAGTGTCGTAATATCGCTAAAATTAGAAACATCTTGTCCAAAAATGATGCAGAAAAACTGGTCCACACATTTATTCAATTCATTTCATTTATATAGCGCCAAGTCAGAACAGAAGTTATCTCATGACACTGAACAAAAACATTCACATACATTATAAATGCCAATTGGTAAAGTTCTCTAAAGAAGGAAGACGGCAGATTGTACCGAGTCTTCATTTCGTCAGTCTCCTGTCCTGAGCTAGCACAAAGGCAACAGTGGAAAGGAAAAACTCCCTCATAATAGAAAAAAACCTCCAGCAGAACCAGGCTCAGGACAAGCAGCCATCTGCTTCGACCGGCTGGGTTTGAGAGGACAGGAAGGAGAAATGGGACACAGAATTGCAGGTCCAGAATGGAGGTGAGCAGGTCCTCACTATAGGAGGAAAGATAAAAAAAAAAAAAGCACATGTTAAAATGGAAACAAATACAAATTATTTGTTCATTTGATGAAATAAGGTCAATTTGTACTCCAGTAGTCTAAGCCTATAGCAGCATAACTAAGGGATAGGTCAGGAGACCAAGCTGGCCCTAACTATAGGATTTATCAAAAAGGAAAATCTTAAGTCTAGTCTTAAAACTGGACAATATGTCAGCCTTATGGCAGAAACTGGAAGTTGGTTCCACAAGAGAGGAGCCTGATAACTGAAAGATATTCCTCCCATTATTTTTTGGAAACTCTAGGAACTAAAAGTAAACCTGCAGTCTGAGCGCAAAGTGTTCTGTTAAGAAAATATGAAACGATAATATCTGTAATATAATATGGGTCTAGGTTGTTGACAGCTTTGTATGTTAGAAGTAAGATTTTGAATTATATTCTGAGTTTGACAGGGAGCCAATGGAGAGAAGCTAAAACTGGTGAGATATCTATCCTATCAACTCATTAAACGGTGACAGCAGCATTTTGAACCAACTGAACACTTTTTTTAAAGAAATTTTTGGACACCCAGATAATAAACCATTGTAATAGTCCAGCCTAGATATAACAAATGCATGGACCACTTTTTCTGCTTAATTTGAAGATAACGAGTTTTCTAATATTAGCTAATTACACAGGTGGAGGGAGGCGGTTTTGGTAACATTTTTAATATGGGGGTTAAAAGACATATCTTGATCAAAAATAACACCAAGGTTTTTAACTTTATAACTGGAGGCCAGATTAATACCACCCAGAGAAAGTGAAAGGCAGCACAATTTATTCCTAAGATTCTCGGGTCCAAAAACCACAACCTCAGTCTTGATGGAGTTCTTCTTCTTTCGGCTTTTCCCTCTTCAGGGGCCACCACAGCGAGTCATCCTTCTCATCTCACTCTGTCTTCTGCATTCTCTGTCCTCACTCCCAACTACTTCCATGTCCTCTAACTGCATCCATATATCTTCTCTTTGGCCTTCCTCTTTGTCTTTTTCCTGGCAGCTGCATTTCTTAACATCCTTCTACCATTATACCCACTGTCCCTCCTCTGGACATATCCAAACCATCTCAATCTGGCCTCTCTAACTTTATCTCCCAGTTGTTCAACCTGTAATGTACCTCTGGTGATCTCATTCCTAATCCTTGTCACTCCTAAGCGGAACCTCAACATCTTAATTTCTGCCACTTCCAGTACTTTCTGCTGTTTTTATGTCAGTGTCTCTGTCTCCAGACCATACAACATAGCTGGTCTCACCACTGTTTTGTAAACTTTTTTTTTTTTACCTTTGCTGACACTCTTGTTGCTAATCACTCCTGAAACTTTTCTCCATCCACTCCATCCTGCCTGGACTCTCTTTTTCAACTCTTTACCACACTCTATTTTTCTGGACAGTGGACCCCAAGTACTTGAAATCCTGCACCTTTGTGACCTCTGCTCCTTGTAGCCTCACTGCTCCACCGGCCTCCCTCTCATTCACACACATGTACTCTGTCTTACTACGGCTGACTTTCATTCCTCTCCTTTCAAAGGCATATCTGCACTTCTCCAAGTTCTCTTCCACCAGTTCCATTTTCTTACCACAGATTACAATGTAATCTGCAAACATCATAGTCCATGGTGATTCCTGCCTGACCTCATCCAATAGTTCGTCCATTACCAGAGTAAACAAGAAATGGCTCAGAACCGAGGACGACCAAGGACGGATCCAAAGAGTCCTGAAATGATGACAGAATATTTATTCAATTGGACCTCTCTGAAAAGTCTGTGAAAATTCCTCGGTAGGAGGGAAAGGAGGGGCAGAGCTTCAGATTTACAAAACTTCCAGGCGTATTGAGATAATTTGGCCTGTCAAGGCCAGTCAGGGAGCCGAATTCAGATAAACACAATTGTTTTGGGGACAGGCAGAACTTTAATGCCATATACCTCGAGTCTGTGTTGGTCCACTTGGTTCCGAAATGTCCAAATTGCATGGCCACCCAAATGGACCGTGCCTGAGAATAATCCCCAAAATCTGATCCATTCTGCCAAAAGCATTTGAGTATGGGTGTACGAGGCAAGAACCAAGCGCAGCCTGATCGGGTTCAAATTTGCTGCCAACGACATCCTTGATTGTAGATAAATCAGGAACCAGCCAAATCCAAAAAGCAGGAACCAGTTATCATAAATCCAATTATATATGTGTCCTTAAAATCTGCAAATGGCAGCAGAGATGGACACGTCATCATCAAATCTTCCAAGTGGATGATATCCAGGGCTGCGTGCATGCCAACAGGGCAAATCAGCTAGCCTAAAGCCTGTCTTCTCTTCGAAGAAATGTTATCAATTGCATTGAAGGCCCAACTGACCAAATCCAATTTTAATACTTTGTGTTTACAGAAAAATTTAATTATTTTATTCTTCTAAATTTGTTCAGTTGTGCTTATTTGTTCAAAAACTATTAACAACTAAAAGTACACATTTTCTTCATTTATTTGCAGAAGCTGTAGTTTTAAAGTTCATTCAAGTGGCAATAAAAATGGAATTATGTCATCAATATAACTGGCTGAGAATTATTTATGCCGGCCTATCACATTATTTTCAGGGGTGGGGGGTTGCAGTTATCATCCATTTATCGTTATCGAGGTGAACTGCTCAATATATTGTGATATTGATTTTAGGCCATTTCGCCCAGCCCTACCAGACATGACTGCTTTCAAAATACATTTTGACAACATCTGCTCAGAGAAGCCTCGTGACCCAGAGGGAGGGAAACAGCCAGTCATTTTTTTTTTCTTCTTAAAAATGCCTTTAACACAGCAAAAAATTTAAAATAAAATGTACCGGTAGTCGACCAAAAGTCACTCATCATTATGTTCGGCGTTTCCTGTGAGCTAAAGTTCTCTTAGAGATCCAGAAAAACGTCATAACACACTGTTGCTGTCTCAAAGCTGTTTCCTCCAACAGCCAGATCGATCACTTTTAACTTGAAAGCTGCATCATTAGAAATTCTTTGTGCATTTTCCATTATATCTGCAGATCAGGACCACCCCTACTCCATTTCTCTTTATATCCACACCATGGTAAAATGGTTACCTGCTCCTGCTCCAATGCTCTGAGCCTTGCTGCCCTTCTACTTGGTCTCTTGGACACATAAAACATCTGCCTTCCTTCTCTGCATCATGTCAGCCAGCTCTCTACCTTTGCCTGTCATTGTCTCCACATTTAGAATTGCAACCCTCAGTCCTACATTCTTGTCTTTCCTCTTCTCCCTCTGTCTCTGATAAGTTTTCTTCCTTGTTGTGTTCGACTAACAGTAGCACAATTTCTACCAGTACCCTGTTTGTCAACAGCACCGGTGATGGTCATTTTTAACCCGGACCTTGATCAATCTGGTATGGTTTCACTTTGTTGAACTCTCATAGTTTTGTATCAGGTGCTCTTCCTGACACAACCCTCAACATTTACCCGGGCTTGGGACCGGCACAAGAGATACACTGGCTTGTGCTCTCTAGTGGCTGGTTTGTCTCATCTGAGTTTAAAAGCAGAAAATTAAGGGTCATCCAGGTTTTTATGTCTTTAAGATATGCTTGTAGTCTAAGTAACAGATTGGATTCATTATTTATCCCATGCTGTTTAATAACTTTTAACTTTAACCTAATGGAAGCATTTATAAAGTAGAGCATTGGTCCAACCACTGAACCTTGAGGAACTCCATGACCTAACTTTGATGTATTAAGAAGATTCATTATTTGCAATTACAAACTGGAATCTATGAAATAAGTATGCTTTAAACCATTTTAGAGTCGTTCCTATAATCCCAATATCATATTCATGCCTCTGTATTATTGTGATCAACTGTAGCAAATGCAGCACTATCACATCTAGGCTGGTCTATTGCAATTGTTTATTGTCTGGGTGTCACAAAAATATTTAAAAAGTCTTCAGTTGATCCAAAATGCTGCTGCTAGAGTTTTAATGAGAGTTGATAGGAAAGAGCTAAAAAAAAGTTAAATCTGGTCCTCTGGACATTAAAAAAAAAAAAAAAACAATGTAGAAACGTTTCGTCTTTCATCTGAAAGACTTCCTCAGTCTGAGGTGCTGTATTCAGCTCAGTCTTATAAATAGCACCTTCTCAGTGTGGATCAACCAGTTTTGCTGCTGACAACCAAAACCAGCTGCTCACATGGTCAAGAAGGACCATCAGCCTAACGATGTATCATTAGCACACTGGTGGCTGTTTACTATTCTCAGGGGGCTGAGTGATACTAGCAATCACAGCATTGTAAGAGGGGGACAGTTGAACCCGGAGGCCTCCACCCCTGTTTAATGATGGACGATTTCTTTTCACAAAGATGGCCTCCTTTACTCCTCTCTCAAACCATCGTTCCTCTCCTATTTCTGATAGGAGAGATCGTATTTCTCCAGTTTTAACTTCTCTTCATTGGCTTCTTGTCAAATTCAGAATATAATTCAAAATCTTACTTCTAACCTACAAAGCTCTCAACAACCTAGCTCCATCTTATATTACAGATCTTAATCTCTTGCTTCCTTCCTTAGATTGAACACTTTTCTATTTGTCATTTATAATGTATGTGAACGTTTCTGTTCAATGCCCTGAGATGACACGTTGTGACTGGGCGCTTTATAAACAAACTGAACTGAATTGAATTGAATTATTGTTTCATACATTCCTAACAGAACACTTTGCTCTCAGACTGCAGGCTTACTTGTGGTTCCTAGAGTTTCCAAAAGTAGAAAGGGAGGCAGATCTTCCAGTTATCAGGCTCCTCTCTTGTGGAACCAACTTCCAGTTGGAGTTTTTCCTTTCCACTGTTGCCAATGTGCTCAGGATGAGAGACTGTGACTAAGTGAAGATTCAGCACAATATGCTGCTTCCTTAGATAGTTAACTTTTACCAATTGGCTTTTATAATGTATGTGACTTTTTCTGTACAGTGCCCTGAGGTTATGGCTGTTGTGACTTGGCGCTAAATAAATAAACTGAACTAATGATCAGTTCATCAATTTACTTTGATTAGCTGCATCTGGCTTCTACTGAACCTCAAATCCTGTGGAAGCAATAAGGGGTCAGTTTTTCACAAAGTTTCAGTTATTGATTTGTTTGTTTAATAAAGGTATTTTAGAATCTGCTGTGAGTTTTTGTTAACTTGAGGTTGGATTTAAATAATTTAGGAAGATGATAAAATTCTGATTTTTCTTTATACTCGTGATTACCAGCTCTCCAACATTTGGTCCATGTGTTGTGTTGTTTTGTCTTTTGTAATTTCCCCTCAATGTTCATTTCTGAGAAAAATAAACTTGTCATTTTTTCTTTTTGCCAGCAGGAACTTTGCTGAACATCACATCTTTGGCTCTCATAGGAAAATTAATGGTCAGCGCGGCGTTCAACATCGCCTACGTTTACACGTCTGAACTCTACCCAACCGTGATCAGGTGACATGAATGTGCAGAGTTACACGCAAAGCTCCGTTGTGATGGAGTGAAAAATGAAACGGTTGTTTGTGTTGCAGAAACGCTGGGCTGGGAGTTTGCTCCATGTCATGCAGAGTTGGAGGAATCCTTGCACCATTTGTTCCTTCCATGGTGAGTTTTTGTACAAACCAGATTCCAAAAAAGTTGGGACACTAAACAAATTGTGAATAACAACTGAATGCAATGATGTGGAGGTGCCAACATCTAATATTTTATTCAGAATAGAACACAAATCACAGATCAAAAGTTTAAACTGAGAGAATGTATCATTTTAAGGGAAAAATCTGTTGTTTCCAAATTTCATGGCGTCAACAAATCCCCAAAAAGTTGGGACAAGTCCATTTTTACCACTGTGTGGCATCCCCCCTTCTTCTTACAACACTCAACAGACGTCTGGGGACAGAGGAGACCAGTTTCTCAAGTTTAGAAATAGGAATGCTCTCCCATTCATGTCTAATACAGGCCTCTAACTGTTCAATCGTCTTGGGCCTTCTTTGTCGCACCTTCCTCTTTATGATGCACCAAATGTTCTCTATAGGTGAAAGATCTGGACTGCAGGCTGGCCATTTCAGTACCCGGATCCTTCTCCTATGTAGCCATGATGTTGTGATTGCTGCAGAATGTGGTCTGGCATTATCGTGTTGAAAAATGCAGGGTCTTCCCTGAAAGAGATGACGTCTAGATGAGAGCATATGTTGTTCTAGAACCTGAACATAGTTCTCTGCATTAATGGTGCCTTTCCAGACATGCAAGCTGCCCATGCCACAAGCGCTCATGCAACCCCATACCATCAGTGATGCAGGCTTCTGAACGGAGCGTTGATAACAACTTGGGCTATCCTTGTCCTCTCTGGTCCGGATGACATGGCGTCCCAGTGTTCCATAAAGAACTTAAAATCGTGACTCATCTGACAGTCTTCCATTTTGCCACACTCCATTTTAAATGACCCCTGGCCCAGTGCAAACGTCTGAGCTTGTGGAGCTTGCTTAGAAATGGCTTCCTCTTTGCACTGTAGAGTTTCAGCTGGCAACGGCGGATGGCACGGTGGATTGTGTTCACTGACAATGCTTTCTGGAAGTATTCCTGAGCCCATTCTGTTATTTCCTTGACAGTGGCATTCCTGTTTGAGGTGCAGTGATGTTTAAGGGCCCGGAGATCATGAGCATCCAGTAGAGTTTTACGGCCTTGACCCTTACGCACAGCGATTGTTCCAGATTCTCTGAATCTTTTGATGATGTTATGCATGATTGATGATGATAACTTAAAAGTCTTTGCTATTTTACGCTGGGTAACACCATTCTGGTATTGCTGCACTATCTTTCTGCACAACAATGGTGGAATTGATGATCCTCTTACCATCTTGGCTTCTGAGAGACACTGACACTCTGAGAAGCTCTTTTTATACCCAATCATGTTTTCAATTGACCTAATTAGTGTTAGTTTGTCTTCCAGCTGTTCGTTATATACTCAATTTCCTTTTTTCCAGCCACTTATTGCTACTTGAAAAAGTTTATTGTATTATGTTAAAATTTCATTTCTTCTCCTGTTAAATTATACTGAAAGCTGTCTAATCAGATGAATCTGAGATAAACCTTGGGTCTCATGTTTGAAAAAGTGTGCAACTTTCATACTGAAGGTCGATGTAGGGACAAAATAAGAAAAGTGCATGCACACTGAAATATTCAGATTTATCTAACTGTATGCACTCATGTTTCTGCACTCCTTCGTGCGTCCTAAAAAGGGGGAACAGAGTGCACAAGTGCACGAGACACTTCTCTGATACACCTCTGTTTAAATAAGTAAACTAGATGCAATCAGTTTCTCTTCACCTTAAAATGTCTAGATGCAGCAAAATTAGGAATTTAAGAGAATGCGAGTCAGTGACACTCCTAAGTATTGGGTTTAACATCGTGTTTGTCACATTTGAGCAATGGGGAGTGCATATGTTGTCAATGTTGAATTAACTGAACTGGAGGCACAGCTCTGCCGGAGGTACACTTCTGAGTTGGAGGCATTTCCAACTTTACACAGGACTCTCTTGTAAATGAGTCCTTGAGGCTCAATGTTGAATGGAAAAAATTACACATTTTTTTACACAATTACTGTGAACACAGAGGCACCTATGAACTTGATTGAACTTAAAAAAATATTATTATAATATATTATATTAAATATTATTATATTAAATATAATCACTTTTTTATAGCAGCACTCTGTGTAAATCACCATTCTCCAGTACACTTTTACTGTGGAAAACTGTCATTAAAAAATGCGGACTTGAATTTGCTGGATTTAAATTTTGCGGATTCTAATTCTGCTAAAGATTTTCTAAGTTTGTGAAAATGCTGTTCCACTAAACAGAAAGTTAGTTCTGCTATTGGCAAATTAACGGAACTGTGCCCACCATTGCGTATTACTATGTTACTAGTTATTGGAAGGTGTTTTTCCACAATATGACAAACCATTCTGTAAACAATGAGAATTTGAAATAAAGGCTTGTCTGTCATTACTGTATCAGTTGGTGTTAATAAATAAATTAAGCAGATAAGACAGCGGGTTATTTAAGCATTCAAGGGTAGGAGGCACCTCCTCTCTTTGCCAAAGTGTTTCAGCCCTGGATCTGAAACAGCCAATGAGAAGAGACCTGACTCAAACTGCCAGTAAGTGAAGTTGCTCATAGAGGACATAAACAGGCAACTTTACTCCTTAAAATAACAGGTAAATGGTGCGTAAAGTGCACATTGTTTACACTATAACACGTAGTTTATGCGTTAATTACGTGTGAATATTTTTTGCATATTTGCCCAAAACAACATGTACTTTACACGTTGTTTACAGCAGTTTATCATATCGCTAAAGATACAATCCTTAGCGGCTAACAAGACGGCTAATGCTTTAGCCGTCTTGTTCCACAGCTGAGACGGGACCGTGTCTTATGATAAACTGCTGATTTATTAATGTCACACTTCCTCGCTGTGTTCCTCTAAAAGGCACAGCACGGCTAAATGAGCTCTGAACCGTGGTTTATTTCAAGGAAGGAGACGGGTCTGTCGGACCTGCAGCTTTAAGGTTCCAAGTGGGGGCTCACTACCGCAGTTCACACACGCTTACCAACATGAAGATGGCGCAGATGAATGGACTGTACTTATAAAGCGCTTTTCTATCTTATCAAGATGCTCAAAGCTCTTTACTACACAATCCGTGCCCTCATTTACCCACTCATACAATCTACTAGATCTCTACAAAGAATAATCAGAGCTTTATCACATTCATACACCGATGGGACACACATCAGAGGCAATGACGGGTTCAGTGTCTTGCCCAGGAACACATGACTGCTGGTGGAATCAAACCCCCAACTCTCTCAGTGGCGGACAACTGCGCTAGCCTCTCAACCACAGCTGCCCCCAGCTGAAGAGGATTATTATTTTATATATGTAAATATATGTCTAAAAATAAACTATTTAATATATGTAAATAATTAATTTTTTAGTCATTTATTTTGTACAGTTACAGCTGTTGTTAATAAATGTGGCTGTGACAACTGGGACAAAACTTTGACTAAAAAATATATATTTGTATTACTTTATGGAAAGAAAAAAAACATTGAGATAGATATCCATCCATCCATCCATTATCTTTACCCGCTTATTCCATTTTGGGTCACGGGGGTCGCTGGTGCCCATGTCCAGCAATCACTGTGCGAGGGGCGGGGTACACCCTGGACAGGTCGCAAGTCCATCACAGGGACACATAGAGACAAACGAGACAAACAACCATTCACTCTCTCACTCACACCTAGGGACAATTTAGAGTTACCAATCAGCCTAACATGCATGTTTTTGGTCTGTGGGAGGAAACCGGAGCACCCGGAGAAAACCCACGCATGCACGGAGAGAACATGCAAATTCCACCCAGAAAGGCCCCTGGACCAGGGTTTGAACCAGGGACCTGCTCGCTGAGAGGCAGCAGCTCTACCAGTTGCGCCACCGTGCTGCCTGAGATAGATATCGTATATCACAATTTATCTTAAAATATCAAGATATAAATTTTGGCCCATATTGCCCAGCTCTACCGCAAAGCATTCATAATGCAAAATCCCGACAATGTTGTCAGCGGAAAAGAGCTGCATTTCCTGCAGGTAAACATGTTTCAGTTGCTGACCAGCCTACTGGATTGATTGGCAGGTCACGTCATGTCAATTGGCCTTAGGAAATACATAAATGATTCTAGTTCAGTCAGTTTTGCAGGTATTGGGCTAAAATATGATGTGGTGCTAGCTGAGGGTCATCCTCAACGCACATTATGAGATCACATTAAATTACGCATTACATAAAAAGATTTGGTCAAAACAGCTACTGCTTCGTCATTTGTCGAGATGAAATGATCTTTGTTTAAAACTCTAGCATGAATGGAGGAGTGATATACATTTCTTGAATAAAAGCTTGGCCTTTTTTTTTTTTTTTCGTAAATGTGTCAACGTTGCCGGTAAATGAAAAGTATTATTTTAAAACTTAAATATGTGATGTTCCTGCTGTAAGAGTGACTTTTTTACTTCCTTTTGTAGCTCAAATTAAATTTCTTAAGAAGTATATATTCAGCAGATGGACTTCCTTTCTAACTCATTTTACTAGATGCAATTTGTAGGAAGGGTTTTTTTATTCTAAAAATTGTTCGTTTAAAAAAAATTCCCAATTTGTACAAAAAAAAAAACTTGTTTAAAATTTGCAACTATTTTGTTTTTTGGGGTGGGGGGGGTTGTTGTAAAGAGACACTTTAAAGTGTCAGTGAGTTGAAATGGGGCCGTTTGCTTAATAATAAAGTAGGAATGCTCAGATTTAAACTGAAAACTGCACAACTTGAGCTGCACCTCGTCACCTCCATGCTCCATGGTGTGTGTGTGTGTGTGTGTGTGTGTGTGGGGGGGGGGGGGGGGTTAGTTGTTAAATTTAAAGTTTCAAGATTAATAGTTAGAAGCTTACTCATGTTTCTTCATTTAAAAAACAACTGTAGATAGAACATGGGGAGTGTTAAACCTTCAAGAAATACTGTGTGTGTGCGTCCGTGCGTGTATATATATATACACGTGTGTATATAGGGAGTGGTGGCGCAGAGGTTAGAGAAGATGTGCCTGTGATCGGAAGATCGTCGGTTCAAGCCCCGGTACCAACAACATCAAAAATGTGGGTTGGGTAGGTGAAGCACCCCCACCTGCCCGCCCCCACCCTCATTTGTCCCACTCTGGGCCCTTGAGCAAGGCTCTTAACCCCCACCATCTGCTCCTCCGGGTGTCCTAGATATCAGCTCCCTGCTCCACACAGAGGGCTGTGGTGGCTTGGTGGGCCGTGGTTGTGTCAGGAAGGGCGTCTGGCGTAAAAATAACGGCCGTCTTCATGCGACTTAGTTCACACACACAGGATTATTTGGGAAATTTAAAGAAAGAGGTTGGATAAAGCACAGAGGTTTGAAATCCCCAAGATGACCTGATGTGAACTTTGGGACTTTTCTTTTGAACATGAGCAGCGTTTGTAATTAAATCTGAAAGTGTAGGGACCCCCTAGTGGTGACTGCGGATCACTTCAGCTAAACAGCAACTGATAAAATAACAAAAACATTTTCAACTTGAAAAGTTTTGAGCAAAATTATTTACCAGTAACCAAAACGCTAACTTTGCCTCCAGACCAAAATAAGTTTCCTGTGGTCGTAAAAATTTTGTTTGCGCATTTAATGTAACAGATATGTACACTTTTTAATTTTATTTACTTGATTTATAGAAGGAAAAAAATAAAGTGCTTTATTAAGGGGAAAAAACAGAATAATCAAAAGAACAAGACATAAATTGTATTCCTGAAACATTCATATGTCCTTGTAAACGTGGGAAAAATGTATATATAATTGTACAGTAAAATTTAAGAGACAGTTGTTTTTGTAATGAGTAGACATCTGAGGTAGATGTACAGATTTCAAACAGGTTAACTTCTTAAATACTTGACAATATAACTAAAATAAATACATTAGTGTAGGAGAAAGTTGCATAAAATAAAAATACCTTTTCAGTTTCAATTAACTACAGACAGTCATGAAATAAAGTCCGCCATCTGTCCATTCTAGGATTTAATGTATCAGTACAAAAATAGCTGTAATCTGATCTTTACCAGGGCTAAAATTGTTTAAATCTAACCAAGTGGACAAAAACACAACTGATTCCACCAAAGCATCATTCATTAAACAAAAAGCCAAATTAGAAATGCTGTGTGGAAAAACTAAGTACACCCTTCTAACATTTTTCAGTCAAGTCATCTGGACAGTTTCTTTTTTTTTTGTGCTGAAACGTTTCACCTTTGATCCAGAAGGCTTCATCAGGCAAGGAAACGCACAACAAAACTGATTCTTTCCCAACAGCTTACTCCGTGGGACAAACCTTCCCCCAACAGTAAGCTGTTGGGAGAATAATCAGTTTTGTTGTGTTTCCTTGACTGGTGAAGCCTTCTGGATGGAAGGTGAAACGTTTCAGCACAAAAAAAAAAAAAAAAAACTGTTCAGATGACCTGACTGGAAATTGTTGGATTGTATACCTGGATTATTGAGCATGGACTTTAACAGGTCTATCTAGCTTCGTTTGCCTGTGAAGAGTAGACCAAAAGTCGTTCACATGCAGCAGAGGCCATTCAGCTTGAGAGAGAGCTTCTTAAAGGCTGAGCAGGAGTGCAGGAGCTCCATAGTGTCTGTAGCACAAGTAAGATAATAATCAAGCTCTGAACCTTCTGGAGATAGGTCTGGAGAAGAAATCTTCATCAGATGACTCTCTTTGCTGATCCTCATTCTCATGCTTCGTTGTTTCAAGATGTTTAATTTATGTCAAGGCTGTAAGGAGAAAACAGTTTTATTTTCATTTCAATGAACATTCCTGAACATGCAACCTTAAATCAGCTTATTCACAAGGATTATTTGGTATTGAGGACAGACTATCGATAACTGACAACTTTTAGGTGGATGACTGACATGTTATTTAAGTATACTCATTTATACATGTGTTCAAACATAACAATACACAGAAATGGGATCATACGAGTCTTTGAAAAAATCTGGCCTTACCAGCCTACATTACATTTGCTTTGTCAGTCCAGGAAGTCTTGAACTTGCTAAGCTAGTCTAGTCTTATTTTAGTACCAGGCAAAGCGATGGAAGTGACATCTAAGATCTTTGCATACTTAGCCAAACTAATAACCCACACATACAAACAATAAAACAAGAATATTATACAGGTAGCTGTAAAACCTTGTATACCACAATGTGTTGTTTGAGATTAGAAACTCTAGGCTTGTAAGCTGCCATCACATAGAGATCAAACAAAGTTTGCATCTGGACTCTGTCTCCTTTTCACTCTGTACATGAAACATTCTTCCAGGTACGGCCACAGGCACTCGTCTTCAGCCTTTACCTCGTCATTTTCTCTGTTGACACTTTGTCCTCTGTCTCCGTTTTGGCTTTTTCTCCAAATCTTCAGTCCATAAATGACTCTCTACTCTACGGAGTTGTTCTTTGCTTACGTCACAGGTAATTGGCACGTTCGCGATCTGAGAGCTTAATTGGCTACCAAGACGCAGATGAACGTTTTGAATATTAATTCAAATTGTGGCCGTACTTAGTGGAAACTTCTGATTTTAAACGTAGCGAAGTAGATTACATGGTCTAAATTGTACATAAGTATGAGTAAAATTACACACTTGAAAGAAATACTTATTAAAGTACAAGTACCCGAAAAATCGACTTACAGTAATGTATTTGTAATTCATTACTTCCACCCCTGGTATTAACACCATGCCAAGATGGAAAAACATCAGCAATGACGTTAGAGAATCGGCTGTTGTTGGCCGTGGATCTGGGGAGGGTAAAGGTAAATTCCTAAGTATTGCAAATTAATTCTACACAGAAAAAGATTTTTCACTAACTGGTAATGCCCAGATCATTTTTTATGTCCTGAAATGTAAAACTCAAGAACCCATTTAAGTTCTTGAGTGGAATTTCTTTATCCCATGAGTGTAGAGTCCATTCACCCCAATGGACCAGACTTTGTGTCAGTTAAAATGGGTACTGATCAGTCATTGTCTCTTTCCAGCGAGCCCTCCACACCTCTATGCCCTTCACTGTGTTCTGTCTGAGCGGCCTGTCTGCTGGATGTTTGGGTCTCCTGCTGCCTGAAACCCTCAACAGACCTGCAGCAGAAACTTTGGAGGACCTCAGCAGCCCGATCCACAGCCGTGTTCTGGAGAGCAAGGTGATATTATGCTACAGCAAGAAAACTGTTAATATACTAGAAAAAATCAGGAGTAGCTAAATGACCTTTGGCACCACATGTTTTCTTCTGATATTCATATAAAGAATATAAAGATAATGTTTTGGGTTTCATCCCATTTTGTTTTCTGTTTGGGTTCTGCATATAAACCTTAATGATCCACTTTATATTTAACACATTTTAAAACTTCTTGTTGACGGATTTTAATGATAAAAGTATCTGTCCACTGCAAAATGAGAACACCTAGCTTTTTATCAACAGGTAAACTCTGTTGTTGCATTTACACTTTTTAAAATACAACTCTAGTTCTAAAGATGTTGGTGTGTTGGAAAATGTAAAATAAAAATAATAAAAATTTATTTATTTGCAAATCTCGTTAAACCCATATTCCCCATGTTCAAACTCAAAACTGAGCAGTTAAGAGAAGATAATAATTTTGGATTTGATGTCAGCAAAACATCTTAAAGAAGAATGGATAAACCACTAAATCACCCCCTCCTCTTTTAACAACGTGTAAAGTGCTAGGATGTGAGGAGACCAGCTGTTGAAGATACTGGAGGTGAATGTTATCCCATTCTTCTTTATTGGGTCTTCACAGTTTGGTTTATTGTTTCATGATGCTCCAAACTGCATGCAGGCCAGCTCAACACCTGGACTCCTGCTATGAAGCAGCTGTTTTAATGGATGCACTATACTGTTCAGAATTGTTGTATACAACAAATGCCTTCCCTTTAAAACATGTGGATTAGAGGCTATGTTGTTCTAAAATCTATTAATAATTTTCTGCAATGGTGATGCTTTTCAAGATGAAAATTGCTTTTGCCATGAGCACTAATGCACCCCCATACCATTGGAGGCAATTGCAAATTTAATTAGCTATTTTTTTGCGAAATGCTCTCCGTGTTGTTTTCTGTACTGTTCATGAGTGACTTTTGTGGCCCCTGTTCCAACTTATTTTAGATGTTTCCAATATAAAATTCAAAAAATATATTTTTCATTGTACATGGTTTTTTTTAGATATTTCTGGTGCATTGTGATTAGAGTATGGGTTCATGAGATTTGCAACTAATTGCATTTTTTTAACACAATATCCCTGTTTTTCTAAAATTAGGTTTTAAACTCAGTACTGGTTTGGTTTTGTAACTGGACAAGGAAAAGATGTTGAGATTTTCAGGTCATATGCAAAAAAAGAATTGTCCATCTTAAACAAACGCTTTAAACTTCTTTTCTAAAACCAATTCTCAATATTTATAAGCTGATCGTTTAATCACCAATAACAGCAAAACTTAATGCACTTTAAGTTTCTGTAACCTGATCTTTCTGTTTTTTCTTGTTTTTTGCCTCTAGGCTTTGCTGTATGACGATAACAAATGGAAGTCCAACTATAAGTGAAGCTTGCTGCCTCATCTATATCTTTAATCCTGTGGAAACAACTTCATCAGAGCCTTTAGAAAGAACTGTGAGAACTGATGCCCTTTAATGTCTGTGACATGAAGTTGCAAAGATGCTCTGTCTCTGTGACGAGGCCGCTGTCGATCATCTCTGCATTTATTTCCTGATTTTTGTTGCATTATTGGTGCCTTTGTCTGGAGGAAAACATGGACTGATGTGTTTCAGTGGTGCAGATAACTGACCAAAAAGTTTTGTCGATAAAAATATATATTTTATTCAGGTTGAAATCCAAAATTCTATTTAAAATATGAAATATTTCTCTTGTGGTCAAAGAGAAATGTTTTTCTCAATCAATAAATGTTATTTGTTCTTCTTTTTGGCAGTTAACTGTAGAAAAACCATAGTTAAAATGTACTTATAACAAACACTAATACCGTAGGAGTGTTTATCCCTATGACTTTGTAAAACATGAGCAGCTGGGACCGGACTTTTTTACAACTGAAATGATTTATCAACATGATGAAACAAAGACGAAAGGAAAATATGATGGATGAATTCTCCCGCTTTCACTTAAGTGACTCCGACTTTTCATTATTGGAGTCTCCTGTGTCAGATAAATTCCTGTGATTTGATTTTCAGCAGGGCAAAGTTTACAAATAATTGAAAAATGTCCTCCCACAAAGCCGACAATGAACTGTTTGAAAATGGAAGTGTTACGTTAGTGTTGTAACTTCATTCTCACAGATTTCTTACAAGGTGTTAAATATCCATCCATCCATTATCTTTACCCGCTTCTTCCTTTTCGGGTCAAGGGGATCATTGGTGCCCATGTCCAGCCATCACTGTGCGAGAGGCGGAGTACACCCTGGCCAGGTCTCCAGTCCATCACAGGGACACATACAGACAAATGAGACAAACAACCATTCGATCTCACTCACACCTGGGGACAATTCAGACTGGGAGTCGCCTCTGCATCTCCAGCGCTCGTCTCTAATGTCAGGCTCTCCCACCGAGCCGCTTTAATCTGCTCGCAGTGGTTGGGGGTGGGAGCAAGAAGGAGTGCCGGGACTGCTGATGTGCTCCTCCTCGCCAGAGAGATGGAGAGGAGAGGGATGGAGAGAGAAAGAGAGAGAAACTGTAATGAAGACGTACACGGAGGTGAGGATCGGATGCAGAAAGGTTCTGCAGTGCTCACCACAGCTAATCGGTAGGAGTGTGTGGAGGTCAAAAATAGATCCGGTCCAACTCTGAATGCTAAGAAACACCTCGTAACTGCGACTTTCCTTCCAATGACTATGGTGACTTTATTTACATGAACGCTCCTGCAAGCACCTTTCAGATGTTGGACGCTGTCTATCATGGTGCACTATATGATTCATGGCTGTAACTACAGGTATTGTACCATCACAGTACATTCACTGGTCAATTGGTCATCATCAACGCAGACTCTCCCACTGGTACGTTTTCATCTTTAAATCACTTCTTGGTCTGCTGCCTTCATACATCTCCTCCTACATGTCACTACATGAGTGCAGCTACAGCGTGCGCTCTCAGGACATTATTAGTGCAGACTGAACTTGGCAAAAGGACCTTATTTTACTCTGCTCCTGTTTCCTGGAATATCTTGCAAAAAGATCTGAAGCTCATGATCTTGTCCTCTCTTAAGTGGCTTCAAACAACTGCTAAGTTTGTGGCAAAAATCAACGCAGACATGCACCTGTTTTTAGTTTTTACATTGGTTTACAAAGATGTTTTTGTTTAGTTTGGAAAAATTTTTTCATCCATTTATTTTTCAATGTATATGCTTTTTTTTATGATTGTCTACGGTTGTCTGTACCTCATCTGTGTTCTTTGTTTAAATCAGGTCTCTTTTGTAAATGAGTCCTCGAGGCTCAATGAGACTAACCTGTATAAATAAAGGTTGAATGAAAATAGACACAGATTCACAGTGTCATTCACAAAGCAATTTGACCTGTAAGCTGAAGGTCAGAGGTAGTTATGAAGAACAAAATCAATATGCTGGTGAGAGTTGTCATACAGGTCATAATCAACCCTGAAAAAGATACAAAAATTAAAACAACTGGACTTCTATTCTGAAAGTGAAGATGTTTCGCTCAGCCAGATCACTTTATGAATTCAGAAATGTCTGGAGTGTGTTGAGTTCCACAGAGAGGCGTCTTGTGTACCTAGACACACAGCAGATTACTCGCCCTCAGGTCTTTTTGTTTGTCTGGCTCACGACAGAGATGTCTTGGTCACGTGCTTCCAAGTGTGAATTGGAGTGGGGCTGACTGGGAAATTAGACTCAATGGGACTAACCTGTGTAAATAAAGGTTGAATAAAAAAAATAATAATTTCCGGTGCAGTTGCACAAAGTGACCAGCAGGCGTCACTGACTCATCCATCGGTGCCAAATGACGTCATTGTTGGGGAATTTTCAAGATGGCGTCGGTCTGTTGCAGGAATGCCGCTGCTGCAACAAGCTGAGGGGATTTAATTAATCTTCCAGCCGGCGATGTGCGTCGCTTCTCTTCACGGTGGGAAGAGCTGAATATTTAGAACCTTAAAATGATTGTGTGAGACTCGCTGTACGTCTGGTAAAAGCTAAAATCACCCCCCGGCTAACGATGGTAGCCCCTACGTCTGAGAACAACAGAAGCTGTTGCTGTGGAGTTCCGGATGAGGGGTTCACGCCCGGGGCCGGCGCTCCTACGGCGGACTGAAAGGTAATGGAAACTGCGAAGGAAAACGGAGCTGCGTTTTTCGTCGACTTTAACGACAACGAGAAGGAGGACGGAGGAGGAGCGGTGGAACCGGCGCGCACAGCCTGCAACGCGCTCAAAGACCGCACAGTAACGCAACTTGCCGGTATCAGCGGGGGACGCGGGGCTGAGAGGACCCGCAGGACCGACAGGAATGTAAACAGTGACGACTCTGAGATCATGCTGGTGGCTGCAGAGGGCTGCCCCCCCCGGCAGTCTGGTGACAGCTGTGTAGTTTCGGGGCTTTGTGGAGGCCTGAACGGGTTTTCTGAGCCCCTCGGTCCGGAGGAGCTGGGAGCAGGACAGGAGGGTGGAGGTTCCTGTCCAGCTGTGCTCGGACATCTGGTTTCTTCACAGATGCTGCAGGAGGAGGAGGCAGGAGGAGAGACCCCGGAGTGTTTTGCTCCAAGAGGAGGAGGAGGAGTGGGGTGCTGCATCAAGAATTCAACTCCCCATGACCGGCTGTCATGTCCGGGTGAGCTCCTGCAGCTCTGCTCCGAGGTGGGCCTCTCCTGCCTGCATGCAGACATGCCCAACGGGGGGGTTGGCAGCCCGGGGTGTGGAAGTCCTGAGTTGGACATGGAGCTGCTGGCCACCCGGATCCTGGGCCAGAAGCTCTCTTTGTGCGACTGTAAGGAAGTGAAAGTGGCCAACGGTGATTTGCACACCTTGAACCCGGCTGAGTGGTCGGGTTCAGGCTTCGTCAACAGAGACTTTGGGACAAGGCAGGACAAGGAGCCCGGGTGGGGTTATGGTCAGAGCGACTCCAGTGGACAGTTGGACCTTCAGGAGCAGGAAGCATCACCTGCTGATGAGCCTCCTTACTCTCCTCCTTCAGCCAGGACTTCCTGCACCCCAGGATCAAGTGCCAAACTCCCCCCACCCTGCCAATCAAGCCTGGTTTCTGAACCCAGCACCCTGGAGGAGGACAATTTTAGCGAGCTCTATGTACCCATCAGGCCTCAGAGTCTCAGGACTAATCCCAATATTTCACTGTCCCTCAGTTGTGATGCCACCCCCTTGTCCCCAGATGAAGATGGGGTTTTTTACTTTGAGCAGGAGAGGTATGACGAAGACCTGCGCACCGTTTTGGACTCAGGCCGGCGTCAGAGCGCTCCGGACCCCCTGAGTGAACAAACAGACAACCCGGACCATAAGGTGATGCCCAAGAGGTTCGGCATAGCTGATTTCTTCACCAGGTAAGTGTTTCCTCTGTGAATAATGGCAGTGCTCCAGAGAGTGGCCGAATCAAACACACCCCAGAACCTGACTTTACTTTTTTCATTCATTCGACCTTTACTTCTACAAGTTAACAGAAAACCCTCAAGTTAGAAACAGAACGTTCTGATTAATACACACCACTCCCATCCCACTTAGATCCATTCTGAAGCACACTCTCACATTTATTCAGATATAAAACGGTAAAACAAAACACAAAAGCATGAATTAACATTGACCATCTGCCTAAAGCTGCAGGATTAAGTAATTTTCTACACATAAAATTGTACATCATGTGTCAAATTTATTTTTTCAACCTTTATTTATACAGGTTAGTCTCACTGAGCCCCAAGGACTAATTTACAATAGTGACCTGTTTTAAACAAAGAACAGAGATGAGGCACAGGCAACATAGACAATCATATAAAAAGCTTATACAATGAAATGTAAATAGAAGTAATGATATAAGAAAAGCAAAACAAAAAACGGCTACAATGTAAGGCGATGTAAAATACTAAAAACAGGAAAACATCTGCACTGGTCCTTGCCAGAAACTTAACAGATTCTTAAAGCCACTTAGAGAGGTCAAGGTCGAGATCTTCAGATCTTTTTGCAAGATGTTCCAGGAAACGGGAGCGGAGTAGGAGAAGATCCTTTTGCTTAGTTCAGTCTGCACTGAGGGAACACTGCAGGTAATAATGTCCTGAGAGCGCACGCTGTAGCTGCACTCATGCAGAGACATGTAGGAGGAGATGTATGAAGGCATCAGACCAAGAAGTGATTGAAAATGTACCAGTGGGAGAGTCTGCATGAAGTTAATGATGACCAGTTAACCAGTGAATACAGGGTGCAATGGTGGGTACGGTAGTTACAGCCAGTTATGAATCTTAGTGCACCATGTTGGACAGCATCCAACATCTGCAGAGTGCTTGTAGAAGTGTTCATGTAAATGATGTCACCATAGTCAATGGAGGGAAGGAAAGTAACAGATACAAAGGGTTTCCTAGCATTCAGAGTTAGACAGGACTGAAAAAGAAATCCAGTTTAACTTTCAGTTTCTTTACCAAGCTTTCGACATGAGGCTTAAAAGAGAGATGTGGATCGACCAAAATACCCAAGTGTTTGTAAGACTCGACAAACTCAATAGGAACACCATTCAAAGATAAAATAGAAGGAAGAACTGCTGGAACCGACTTCCTGTTTGAAAACATCATTTGGTTTTGTCAGCATTTAGCACAAGCTCGAGACGGAACAAATCTGACTGGATGATGTCGAAAGCAGATTGCACAAGCTGGAAAATCTTAGCAACTGTTTTAGCTTGTCAGTAAACAACTGTGTCATCGGCACAGAAATGTAAAGATGCATCAGGGATGATCTGATCTGCATTACTTATGTAGATTGTGAAGAGGGTGTGTCCTAAGACTGAACCTTGCGGTACACCATTGTTAACAGTTTGATAACTGGAGGATGTACTATTATTTTGAACACATTGCCTCCGATCTGAAAGATAGTTAGAGAACCAACCAATGGTGTGATCTGAGAGCTTATGACACAAGTTGTTATGGTCCACAGTGTCAAAAGTTTTAGACAGGTCTAAGAAAAGTGCAGCACAATAATCTTTAACATCAAGTGCTTCACCAACGTCATTAAAAACCTTCAGCAAAGCAGTCGTTGTGCTGTGTTGTTTCCTGAAACCAGATTGATGGGGAGATGCCAAAATAATACAAAAACTTCTTGACTTGGGAGTTTATCAATTTTTCTAAAACCTTAGCAAGATTACAGAGTTTAGAGATTGGTCCATAGTTGTTCAGTATAGTGGGGTCTCCTTCCTTCAGTTAAAGGCTGTTTTCTAAGTGTTTGGAACAGTGTTTTGACTTATGGACCGGTTAAAGATATGAGGCACTGGTTCTGTGATGATCTGAGCGGCCAGCCATAAAGAAATTAGGTGAAAGGTCATCAGGGCCTGCAGACTTTCCAGAGTCTAGATGTTTTTAACAATTTATTAACCTCACTAACAGAAAACAGTGAAAATGAAAAGGTGTGGTTTACTGAGGATTGACTTGTAGATATTTGATTTGTAGAAGTTTGGCTTAAAGGATAAGTAGCTGGTTGTCCATTAGTAACTGTGGTAAACAAGGAACTCTAAGCAACAAGATGTCTGCTGATATAGTTTAGGATCTCGTGCTTATTTGACACAGGAACAGAGTTAACAAGTACAGGTCCTTCTAAAAAAATTAGCATATTGTGATAAAGGTCATTATTTTCCATAATGTAATGATAAAAATGAAACTTTCATATATTTCAGATTCATTGCACACCAACTGAAATATTTCAGGTC